CGGCAACGTTTTCGGAACTGCAACCTCTTGATTAGAAGATCGGGAGGGGGAAGCATTCTCGAAATTCGCAAGTTGTTGTTGAAGAATCTGGATCTGATTGGCCATGGCTGCCTTCTCTGTGTCAACAGAGGCCTGAGGATACAGACCTAGCATGTAGTCAACAACCTTCTGTGCCAACAAGTGTGTGGCCTGTGACTTGGAGTCCGAACCGCTGCTCTTGGAAGCGGGGTCACTGGTACCAAGCACAATAGAAGCAAGCTCATCCAAGTCGACTTCTTCATCTCGCAGCTTTCCAAACAAGGCGTGGCAAAATACAACTTCACCGATCGACTTGAAGCCTGCAAAGAAAGTCGGCTTTCCTTCGGCAATATGGCGCACCCAATACGAATTCCAACCTTGATAGAGCAACGAGTGAAGCGGTATCATATGGGTCGGACATCCATCAATCTGCTTTCGAGCTGTCCAGTCAGTCTTCTTTACCCAACGAGCCAAGTTCAAGCCTGCAATACAACGGGAATCCAAATAGTTCGGGTTCTGGCAAAACTCAGCGGGCATCATCGGGCCGAAGACTCTCGGGGAGTTTGCAGCAGGTGGGGATGGGAGGCCTGGAATGCGGGGGGTTGGCGAAATGTTCATAATCTGGGCAATACGTGGATTGGGTTGCCACGTAAGATTCTGTGGCTGAAGCACTGCCGGTCTGTTCACTGCTGGGGCAGGTCGGGGAGCAGGGTGCTGCCAACTCTCAGGGGTAGGTGGGACCAAAGCCGGCAAGGAGGAGCTCCAGAAGGGGTTGCGGCGGGGGGAGCGTTCACGATCCATGGCAGGAAATGAAAACAACAACTGACTGCAAAGCTCAAGCCGGAATGATCTCCAGAAGCGACTCCAGAATGCGACTCCGATCTGATTTCCAGAAATGTGATTTCCACTCAGTGATCTCCACTTGAACATGTTGTGAAACGGAATTGATTTCCGAAGCTGCTAACACAAGAACCCCGGTGGGCCGGCAACTTCGCCGAATAGCGACAAGGCCCTCATGAGGGAGCTCTTGCCGAACACAACTGGAAAGGCTCCCACTGACCCGCCTTCTGGATGTTCTGATCGTCCAATGCAGAGACTCTCATGAATGTGCACAGACAGATTGCAGCAACCGTACAAAGCTTCGAGAGACATGTCCGAGTTTTCAGAAAGCAAAGTAAGGTAAAAAGTTTCGAACAACCGCGAAAAGCAATATGATGGTTTCAAATGTGACCAATCCAGCTGCGCTCTTGCACCCAGGAACTGGTCGCAGGTACGTTTACCTGTCCATATGACAAAGAGCTTCGTTGGCGCGAGCTTTGTCAAAGGACCTCGCGCCCCCTGCAAACTTAAAACGAAAAGAGCATGAAAACAAGAAAAATCATGGGTCAAAGCAGGGACCTACAAAGGTTTGCAAACAGAAACGCCAAAGAAAAGTGGACATGTGAATGCAGGTTTGTCGCATGTACAGCAGAATAACACAAACAGGGCAGAAAGAAAAGCGAAGGAGTCGGCTTACATCGCAAACAAATATTTTCCTTACACGGAACCATTGACAATTTTGCCGCAAGCCGAGCGAAAAACGTCGTCCACAGGATCTTGCTGCAGCAGAAACCACGCACGGAAAAACACACAACTCTTACAGCATTGCTGCCTTGCAAGACAGGATAGCAGACCAGGCGCCCAGAAAGGAAACATTAAAGGGAACCAGCGGGAGCTCAGGCCCTCTGCTGCGGCCCGCCCGTCCAACCCAGGAGCCCAGAAAGGAAACAGGAAGGAAACCCAATTGGCAGCCCAATCCCTTTGCCGCGGCCCACCCATCCAATCCAGGAGCCCAGAACAGAAACATGAAGGGAGGTAACGGGATTGTCGCGGCCCAAGGAAACATGGAGGGAGCCCAACGGGAGTCCAGGTCCAACCCAGCAGCCCAGAAAGGAAACATGAAGGAAGCCCAATGGGAGCCCAGGTCTTTTGCCGCAGCCCACCCGTCCAAACCAGGAGCCCAGGAAGGAAACATGAACGGAACCGAATGATAGCCCAGGTTCTTTGCCGCGGCCCACCCGTCCAACCCAGGAACCCAGAAAGGAAACATGAAGGGAACTGAATGGGAGCCCAGGTCCTTCGCCGTGGCCCACGCGTCCAACCCAGGAGCCCAAAAAGGAAACATGAAGGGAGCCCAACGAGAGTCCAACTCAGGAGCCCAGAAAGGAAGGAAACATGAAAAGCCCAGTGGAGTTCAGGTCCTTTGGCGCGGCCCATCCGTCCAACCCCGCCCAGAAAGGAAACATGAAGGGAGCCCAGAAAGGAAACATGAATGGAGCCCGATGGGAGCCCAGGTCCTTTGCCGCGGCCCACCCGTCCAACCCAGGAGCCCAGAAAGGAAACATGAAGGGAAGTGAATGGGAGCCCAGGTCCTTCGCCGCGGCCCACCCGTTCAACCCAGGAGCCCAGAAAGGAAACATGAAGGGAAGTGAATGGGAGCCCAGGTCCTTCGCCGCTCCAACCCAGGAGCCCAGAAAGGAAACATGAATGGAGCCCAATAAAGCCCAGGTCTTTTGCCGCGGCCCACCCGTCCAACCCCGCCCAGAAAGGAAACATGAAGGGAAGTGAATGGGGGAGCCCAGGTCCTTCGCCGCGGCCCACCCGTTCAACCCAGGAGCCCAGAAAGGAAACATGAAGGGAAGTGAATGGGAGCCCAGGTCCTTCGCCGCTCCAACCCAGGAGCCCAGAAAGGAAACATGAATGGAGCCCAATAAAGCCCAGGTCTTTTGCCGCGGCCCACCCGTCCAACCCCGCCCAGAAAGGAAACATGAAGGGAAGTGAATGGGAGCCCAGGTCCTTCGCCGCGGCCCACCCGTCCAACCCAGGAGCCTAGAAAGGAAACATGAAGGGAAGTGAATGGGAGCCCAGGTCCTTCGCCGCTCCAACCCAGGAGCCCAGAAAGGAAACATGAATGGAGCCCAATAAAGCCCAGGTCCTTTGCCGCGGCCCACCCGTCCAACCCCGCCCAGAAAGGAAACATGAAGGGAAGTGAATGGGGGAGCCCAGGTCCTTCGCCGCGGCCCACCCGTTCAACCCAGGAGCCCAGAAAGGAAACATGAAGGGAAGTGAATGGGAGCCTAGGTCCTTCGCCGCTCCAACCCAGGAGCCCAGAAAGGAAACATGAATGGAGCCCAATAAAGCCCAGGTCCTTTGCCGCGGCCCACCCGTCCAACCCCGCCCAGAAAGGAAACATGAAGGGAAGTGAAGGGGAGCCCAGGTCCTTCGCCGCGTCCCACCCGTCCAACCCAGGAGCCCAGAAATGAAACATGAAGGGAGCCCAATGGGAGCCCAGCCAGTTTTCCGCGGCCCAGCCATCCAACCCACCGCGGCCCACCTTTTTTCTGAGGAGAGAACCCCAAACCGTACCTGTTTGGGGAAAAATGAAGCTGTCACGGAGCGTAGGTTCCTTTGCCATATCGGCGAGTGGAAGCTTTTGAAGAGACACATGATCATCAATGGCAAGGAGTTCGATTGTGTCGGTTTTCGGAACAGCTCGCCTATAGAGCAACGTCTCCTCAGGTATTAGCGATCCCACGTGCTGCCGCAGGACTTGGTAGTGAGCGCCCTGACCCACTTCCACAGCAAGGCTGTCGCCCATAGCCATATAGTATTAAGTGAAAGCACCTGCGGCCCACTCAACACAGAGCCCTGCGCCGCACGGAGGTGCGAAATTTCCTCTGGCTCGAACCGGCAACGGATGCTATTCTTCACAGCCCGAAGAGCAGAAATCTTAAAGGAATAATAGTAATCCGAAAGATCGTCGGCGCAATAGCGGAAACCGATGCCTGGCTCGAGATGCAGCAAGGTCAAAAGTGATCCCGGTGTCAAGGATTTTGAATACCTAGAAATGCTAAAGGACCTAGAGTTGCTGACCGTGGGATTAACTATCAATCTGTCATTGACGGCCGATTTGGCAACACAAAACAACCCTACCGCTTCCTCCCAATCAACCTCGCACGCGGGCGTGACACGGACGGCTCCAAAACCGTCCCACTTCTCGGCGAGCTTTAAAAGCTCACTCTTGCTGCAGTGGAGCCGAGCTGGGGCGAGGGCCGGCCATTCATGTTTCGGCCGTCGAAGCAAACTCGGATCAGCAAAGGCCCTCTGCACAACAGGCTCGAGATAAGGAGTGGGCTCGAAGCTAGGACCGTACTTCCACTTGATACGATCGGCCACGACAGGAAGCGGGCCCCCGGCTCGAAAGTTCAGAAACTGCTTCGGTGCACAGGCGCCGTCGGCCGGACTGGAAACAGACTCTCGGTCGGGCTTGGGGGTCTTATGTTGCTCGTAGGGAAGGAAGGAGGCATGCAGTTGAGAGGCCCAGCTAAGGAGGTCCACGTCCCGAAGGTTGTCTAGGGGCAGTTCCTCAATCATGCTAGCGAACCCCGCGAATTTACTGGCGGCCCTGCCGAGGTCATCCGGCAGAAAGGCGGGCGCGCGAAGCATATAGTCAATTTGCGACTCCAGGCGATCAAGCACTTGCTGTTGGGCAGCGGTGGTCGGGAAGCCTATCCTAGCAGCGGGTGAGGCCTTAAGGGGGTGTCCTAGACTCTCCCAATTAAGTGCGCACACTACGAGCTGAAGCATCTGGGTCCGGACCCGGAGTCGCAACTGACGTCGGCGCTTGCGGCGAGAGCCGCGCGTGCAAGCCGTCCATCGCCACCTGGGTGGCGGGACTGGCCACAAATCCTGACCACGGCAACCTGAGGTCATAGACTCAACAGTGCAGGCTTCTGTGAGGGCATGTTTGGTATACCAAGCAAGGCCCGACTTACAACCTAAAAAATTAGAAACAACCAAAGAGGCTAAATTAAGGGGATCAATCTCGTCTGTGCATTGAGGATTGAAATCAGGTACACCGTCAGGCTGCAAACCACTAGGAGAGAAACGATTGTCCCGACTCTCACCGGTGGCCCGCGGCCCATCGACATGCACTGAAACCCCTAGCTTGCATCGTTCTTCGGGCGTCGGGGCGGACGCCGACGAGGTGGCTTGCCGGGCTCCTCGGCATCCTCGCTCGGTACTTCGGGTGGCTGCGGCTTCTGCGGGGGTGGCTGCCGATTGTTCCCAAGCTGTGCTATGCGAGTCTCGGCATAGTCGAGGTTCGCCGCCATCCACTGAGCCGGAGCTAATCTTGAGAAGCTCTTCAAACCCGGAGCTCGCCTGCTCATGAAACCCAATGGTGTGGGATCCGGGAAGCCGCTGAGGAGGTACCCGAGCTGGGTTTTTCCCCCATCCAAGGCGCTCTGCTCCACGAACATCAGCAGCCGGCTGGTGAAGCCCATGAGCTCCTCGTTCTTCGATCGGTAGCCGAGCTCCCAGCCGGGAGAGGCTATGGCCGCGACGTGTTGCAGAACCTTTTGGTCGGCCAGGGGGATCCGTTTTTCCACGAACTCCCTCATCAGACCAGGCTCCGGCTCTGTCATCCCAAGCTCCAAAAGTGCACTGTTTTGCACCTTGTTGGCGACGCTCTTGAGATCCGACACCTGCTTCAGAAAAGCTTCCCTCGCCAAGTGGCCCTTGATTCCGCCTCCGGAGCTGTCGCCGCCGCTGCCCGAGCCGCCGCCGAGAACATCTTCCAGAGCACCGCCTTTGTGCACAAGCTTCTCCAGCAAGATGGCATTCTGCCGCATTTGGGCTAGCAACATGCTCTGCATAGTGGTGGCCTGAAGCTCCTCGGCGGGATCCTGAACATCGGCTGGCGGAAGGGCTCCGAACTCCGCCTCGAGAGCGAGATCCTCCTCCGGGGCGGCAGCTGCCGTCCGCTGTCTCTCCACCAGGCCAACACGAGCGGGAGCCGAACCGGCTAAGCGCTGGAGCCTCGCCATTGCAGCATCCGTCATCGCCCGGCCGCCGTTGAAGAGATTGCCCCCAGGCTGGGCACCAGTCCGCGGAGCTTGGGAAGCCCGAGCGGCTGCAGGGAGCGCCCTCGATCCCAGAGCGCGGTTTGGCGCCGGTTGCGCCGGCTCCTCCTCCGCCAGTTCGTCCATGGGCTCCCCGTCGACATCCGCCTCGAGATCGACCTCCTGTGCGCTTTCCCAGTACTCCTGGGCGGTGTCCGGATCTAAGCGTTCCACCCACCTTCCAGCAGTGTCCAAAGCATCTTGTGACATAGGCCTGCCAGGTACGGTGCCGACCGACACCGAGAGAACACGGGAAGCTCGATCGGGTAGGCCGCGCAGCGAACGGACAAAGTAGCCGCAACTGCTCCAAGGAAAGTCCGCCAGCAGAGCAGCTCCAGGACCAAGGTGGCGGCCCCGAACAGTCTCCACTTGGACTTGCTCCCTCATAGTAAGGGCCACCCTGTCGCCGTCTTCGTTGAGAAGGCCCTCGACGTAATCCCGCACGGCCGGCAAGTCGGGGAGCACCACCATGAAGCCATTGGCCCGCACCCTCAGCAGGAAAGCAGTGGCGTAGCGGTCGCTTCCTCCCTCTTCGGCAGCAGGAAGTGTAAGATACAAGGGGGGCAGTGCAGAATCGCCGCTCACCGTAAGTGCCAGCTCTTCCACCCCAGGGCGGCCGATTGGCCGCCTCAAGCCTGATGAGGAGGCCATCCCCGCCCGGCTCCCAGCAGATATGCTTCCGCTTCTGCGAGTGACGGGAAGGAATGGGAGGCACTTGCCGAATCAAAGGAACCCCGAGGGCCCCCGACGGGGCGGACAGCAGCAGCGTAGGTCTGATAGCTCTTGGTCCAGATCCCCTCCGGATGCGAAGGGCCACGTAGAACAATGTAAAAGCTGTTCCTCAATCCAGGCAGCGTCGGAGAGGAGATCTTATGACCTCCGTTCAGATGCGCCTTGGCGCCCAGCCCTGCACGATATGCTCGTGCCACTCGAGCGGTCCCCGACCACTCTCCACCAGCACCGGTAAGCCTGCGAGCCAGTGCCCGAAGTTGAGGAAGATCGAGCGCCTCCAGCGCCTCAGCCGAGAATGCAGCAAGAACGGCAGCCTTAGAAGCGGAAGAGCTCGAAGCAGGCGAAGAAAGGGCAGGTCCTGTCTGCCCAACCAGTTCAAAGCCTTCGTCAGTCCCAGTGCTCTCGGTCCTACTGCCGCACAGTCACCTCAAGATCGCCGAACAGGAGAGTCAAGTTGTCCAGTTCGGCGTCCTCCTGGCTCATGCGCGATGAGCCCTGTACTCAGCCAGCCGCTCCTCAGGAGAAAGCCTGGGTGGCCGAATAGCCCAGAGTTCAGAGGTTACAGCCCCCAGCAGATTGCAAGCGATGCGCCGGCACTGATTGGATATGGCCAGGCACGTAAGAACCACTCCACAGCAGCAGCCCAGTAAGCAAGCCAGCAGTATGCAGAGAACGATCGCACCCCAAGGCACTCCGGCACAAGGGGGTGAACTGAAGCTAGCAAGGAATTGCCTAGCTTCGAAGAGCACAGGAGCCCATTGCCCTAACATGTGCCCTGAAGAACTTGAGCAGTCACATCACGGAGCGTTCGCTTCTGGAGATACTTGGCATCCCATCGCTGAGCATCCCCATCTGCTGGGTGGCAGAGGTCGGTGGCGGGTGCCGCCTGCGCTGGCTGCCCCTTCAGGGCAGGTTGTGTCTGTTGATAATCCTCCTGGAATCCTCCTCCTCATCCTCTTCGTACAGGCCTACCAGGTGGGCCACTTCCTTCCATTTCTCCTCCTCCCCCTTCTGCCAGCCCCTCTCTCTGGTTGCAGGCTGCCTGCACCGCCGCCGCCGCCTTAAGACCGGCCTGTTCACGGTCGCCCCTGTGTGTGGTGAAGCTGGCTTTGGGCCGGCGTGGCTTGCACATGAGATTGCATGAGGCTGGTTTGGTCCCCCGCATCGGATTCGGGTTTGCGTGCTCCCGGCGTTGAGGTGGGAGTCTGCCAGTTGCGCGTTGGTGGGACTGTTCTTAACGATGTCCTTGCGTAGGACCCTTGGCTCGAACAACGCGAAGAGGCCCCTCTCGGTGTAGAGTAGAGCAATCGTGCTTTGGCGAGGCACAGGCGACCGAAGTGATCAAAGTTGGAAGGAGGAGACAAGAGAAGTGCGGAAGATCCCCCGGTCTCTTGCGCCAGAAGGGCTACTCTCTCTCGTTTAGGCAAGGGTCAGGAATTCGGCTTGAGGATGGAGAGTGCGAAGCTAGGGCGTCTGCTTCTCATAAGTGAGCCAGGTCCATCCATGAGGCAGAACCGCACAAGCAACACACCTGGGGGCCTTGCCGATGGCGCCTTGGTCTAGGTCGTCGTCTGTGAAGCCCACGTTGCGGGCCTGCATCACGGCATTCCACAAGAAACTGTGGGTTTCGTATGCCCTTGGGCTGAAGAGACAAACAGACTTTGCGCTCTGTAATCTGTACGTTAAGCGTGTTACAGTGTTCCAAACGTTTCTTCCTGCATCATGATGTCAATGCTTCGTACATGTTGATCATTGAACCACATGGACTGTGCCAGCGTCGACAAACACATCGTATCTCTGGGTGCGCATTTTCGGCATTCAGCTCACTTGGATCGTGGAGCAAGGTATGGACTCTGTTGCAAGTGTTCCAACGAACTATATGGCTTCATTGTAACTGGAGTGCTGCGAGGTGTGCATCCATGCATGCCTGCCTGCAGCTCCACCGACTTGTACACTGAGATGGGTTGTCGGCAGCTGGGGAGAGAGAGGAAGAGAGAGAGAGAGAGGATAAATTTGGGATATTTGTCCCTGTTCGGCAGACGACTTCGATTCCGGGCATGCTCGGCTAGAAGACTGCCAGGGAAGCATGCTCGCTGAGGCAAACTACAAGTTCTGAGGTCCCCAGCTACGGCAACGGCATCATCGAAGGCTAAGCTGGCTGGTGTTGTCTGCTCCTTGTTGGGCTCTGACAGTTCTTGTCTCAACATGCCGCAGAATGAACGAGAAGACCGTCCTGAAAGGCCGTCTGCGTATAGACGACAAAGTGGGTGAAGTTCAGCCGGGGCGTGTCAGCAGGCACCAAGAGTTCGTTGGTGCCTTGGACCGGCAAAAGCAAACTCTTGAGCTCATGCTCACTGACGCTTTCGATGCCTCTTGAGCCTTTCAAACTCAGGGTCCACTGTGCAGTGGGAAAGCCGGCACCAATGCCCGGGAGGCTGGCCGACTGCAACCGGAGACTCAACCTCCACCGATCTGATTGGACGGTGGCTGTCAGGTCTAGCACTCTAGCTGTAGCGGAACCGACAGCAGAGCAGAGTTCGTTTCCGCCCGGTGCCTGCGAGCGAGCTGTGCCGGAAGCGTCCTCTGCTAGATACACCACGTATTGCTGGGTGTAGACCTGGGCTCAGATTGTAAGTAGTAGGAGAACCCCCCCCCCCCAATTTCGCTCTGAAGGACCTCCTTAAGCGCCTCACCAGGACCAGAGGCGGAGTCCAGGAAACCGTTCCGCCCAGCTCATTGAGATCCAGGTCCTCCAGATGTGAGAGCAGAGGCCGAGGCTTGGTCAGCTCCAAGCTGTGGCGGAACAGGTCCTTGCCCTGGAAGGCGATGCCGGACACACTCTCAGTGGTGTCCCTGAAGATGTAAGCATCGCAAACAGACCTCGGGCCGAGGCCAGCAGGGATTGGGCGAAGCTTTCGGCACCAGCACTCCGGGGTTGAGCTCCGCTTGGTTGCCCGAGTGCCCGACTGTTCCACGCCATCCGACAGCAGGCAGACCTCGAGTGCTGCCGCACAAGGCTCTGGCCACTTCGGCACTCGAGACTTGTCAGATCTGATAGAAGCTTCGAGGCCTTCCGGCCTTCCACAAACCTCCTGAAAGACTCTGATGTATGAGGCTCCCGGGGGCAGCTGTCCGGCAGTGTGAGCATCCGGCCAGCAGGTCGGTCGTGCCGTTGCTGTCCGTGTCCATGGGTACCTCGAAGTCCTCGGAGCGCCAAGCATCGGGCACATGTCGAAGAGAGGAGGGTTATTGACCTTGAGTTGGGGATGTGCTGTTTGCAAGTTCTTTTTCATCCGTATAGACGTCCAAGCTAGAGGGATGCCCATGAAGATTGTTTGTTCCCAACTTATTGTTCATCTGCTGGGAAGTCGGTACAGTTGGACCTCGTTGGGATTCTGGGTTTCTTGCCGGAGGTGGTCACTGTTCCGCTTGGATGGAATGTGCAGTTGTTGATTGAAGAGCTGACTGGATCTGGACATTTTGGCATACCCCAAAGCTCGCCTTAAGTCCTAGACGATGCAGGAATACATCGAAAACTCCACCTCACGACCTTTGTGAAGTGATAAGCCTTAGGATTGGTGACCCCATGACATTCCAACGTGAATCCCAGGGCTTTCTGGTAATCTGGGAACCCAAAGACAGGACATGAGACACATCATCTGCGTCGAGGCTCCGTGTTGATAGCACCGGCGACATCGCCCAGATGGGAAATCTTCACGGAGGCCTCAGCTCCACAGCATGTCTGTCTGAGGCTTTCGCACCGAAAAGCCGTAGACGTTTCAGAGAGCACAAGATCCACCCATCACACCAGCCTGAGACCCTTCACATTCCAAGCCACACGAGATCTGAGGGAAACGACCCCTGTGCCGAGGTAGATCCTGTAGCCGGTGACCTGCCGGCAAATCTCGAAGGGACAGCAGCTCGCAAATCCGCGAGGCCAAAGGCCCAGGGCGTCTTGTTATATTAAGTACCGTCCACCTAATCCCCGCTGCCCAAATGCAAATGGTGCCCCCCGCCCCGGCCTTGGGCTTGCCGCCCTCATGTTCGCCTCTTTTGCCTCTGTTCGCCTTTTGCTGGCCCGCCGGCGCCCCCCCCACCAGCCCCTGTCCGGCCTTCCTTCCGCCCGCGTGACTGCACACCGCCGCATAAACAAGCCAGTTCATCAAACTGTTCGTGATTGTCGGCATCAGCAAGAATGAGCATGTCTGCCAAGCAGAGCCCTCTTCCCTTCCTTCTCCGTCCCTGCCAGTGACTCCTGGTTCTTCCTTCTCTGTCAGCCTTCGCCTCTGCCCGGCCCCTCCCATCCGTCCGCCTCTTTGCCTGATTCCGTTTCTTGTTTCCTTGTCCTCGCAGTGTGACTGCCCAAATCCGCGTAAAATGCTTTTATTCCTCAAACTGTTCGTAACTGCCCGCATCAGCGTAAAGGAGCATGTCCAGGGCAAGAGGCAAAGGACAGGCAGATGGTTTGTCGCCTCTTCTCCTCCTCCTCCTCCTCCTCCTCCTTGTTCCCGGCATTGTCGGCATCAGCAAGAATGAACATGTCAAAAATCAAAAAGAGCCTCTTCTCGCCCTCTTCCCTTCCTTGTACTTCACTGCCCGCAGAGGCCGAGGCGGGCTGCGTAGCGTTAGAATTATAGCACCCCAAAGTCCAGCAGTTGTTGACGGACGAGCAGCAGAAACGGTGTCAAGTCTCTTCAGCTTAGTAAGCTGCAATCAAAATTCGCACATGAAGTGGAGCACCTGGTGAACTCCAAGCGACAATTGTTGCATTAAACGCATTAACCCAGCTTGGCAACTGTAGATCCCCAAGAACGGCCCGGACTTTCATAATGGGTCCAGCATCAGGGAGGCCCTTCAGGGACTAAAGGTCAGTAAACAGCCAAGTTAGCAGCCAAACAGAGCTTCCAATAGATGCTCTCTGCCTCGTTGAAGTGCACTCTAGCCGCTTTGGCCTAGTGGCCTAGCGCCTAGCAAGGATGGACATCCCTTGTACATGCCTGTATGTTCTAAGTTGATCTGAAAGCACCTACCTCAGCCCGAGAATTCCCTGCAGGAACACGCGGTTCGCATTGAAACGTTGGAACCGTCTATGCTCGGGAAGGTAGAAAGGCCAAGACTGACTCATCCCGGAGGGGTGCAGTGTGAGCCTGAAAATCATCCTCGGAAGACCTACTCTCCTCCTGCGAAACTAAGCTCTCAACATCCCTACCCTACATTCCTACATCCTATGGCAACCTTGAGCCATGCCATGTTGTCATGCCACCACTCCCTGCACCTGGGAGATGTCGGCCGGCTCTGCCCAGCTCAGGTTGCCCCCAATCTGCCACGCCGCAGCGAGGACAAAAAAGGCCGAAGTGGCCGAAGTGGCCGAAGGCTGATTGACCGGAGCCTGGCCCTCGTCCACGTCCACGTCCGTAAAGGAGATGTTCCCAGCCTCTGCAGATGTGCAGTCCGACACTCCGGCGCTTCATGGCAAAGGGCTCTGGGCGGCTGGCCGAGATGTAGGAGTCAAAGAGAACGATGCTGACAGGCGTCGACTGCTCCGCCAAGCTCGACCTGAGCAAGGTGTAGTGGGCCAGTGTTTGATCCGGATTTGTCAAGGGCGTCGGAAGTCCGAAGGGTGTCGCCGTCGAGGGCACATGTCTCGGGATTTTCAAGGGCGTAGGGCAAATGTCCAATCTAGGGGCGCTGGGGCCACAGGGCTTGGAGGTTGAAAAAGAGCTTGTGGCTTGGAGCCTCTCTTCGAAAGCGGAACAAACTGCCTCGGTCGCGAAAACGTGGCTTCTGCTTTTGGGTGCCTTCTTCAAGGATTCCGGACCTCGACCTGGAAGCTTCCTGGTGTCTGGCAACGGAAAGACTGCGTCTGCCCTCGCTAAAGGGGTTCCCTCTACATGACAAAGACCCTGTTCCTTCGGAGACACCTCGTCTGGGCCGCCCCACTTGGTGTAAGCTCCTATGTGCGTCTGCGTTTCAAGAACATCAACCTCCGTGAAAGACACCTGCAGCAGACGCAGATGTTTGCAGCCCTTTGCCCCTTTGCAGCCCTTCCCATCAGGGACGAGGCTTGCCATTCGCCAGGCCAGCTTCTGAAACGTTTCAAAGCTTGGGCCGACTTACTTCTTGAAACAGGTGTGACCGGGTCAGATTCTTCATTGGGGTTTAGTTCATGTCGCATCATATATGAGATAGATGTTGCTGTGTTGCTTTTTGTCAATGATGTTGCGCTTGCTCAGTTCATTGTTGTGCTGCAAACTACAGTTCTTGTGTTGCTGCTTATCATTCCCCTCCAGTTGCAGTACTGGTGTGTGCTGGTGTTTCGCTTTTTCCTCAAACACTGCCGCTGTGACAACGGAAGCGCCAGCAATCGTCATCACCGTCACACGCAGCCTCGATGCATCATCAAATGACAACAGCCGCCAAGGCAAAGCGGGAAGGAGCAAGGTCCAATGTCTCTGCCTGGTTGGTACCAACAGCGACCTGGCTCCCCAGCTGCGCTCGGGAGCTGCAGCTGGAACCCTCGCAGAGGTAGAGGCCTCGTTCTTGCTGTGGGATCCATGGTCTCTTCAGGACTTGGGGCTGGGGCTAGCAGGGTTTCATCAGGTATGATATCTGGACCCTCTCCAGGATGGTGGATGGGTTTTTTTGTTTAGAAATTTGGCCCAAGGCCTTTTTAAAATACTTGGCCCAGGGGCCTGTGTGCCTTTCAAGTGCAGCAAGCTGTTGGGCAAGTCCCATTTGCATGTCCATTGAGGAAGGAGCACTTGCCGGCTTCCTTCAGAATTGCAATTTGCAAGCCTTCGTTTTGCGGGAAGCTATTCGGGATTTCGATTTGCAAAGTGTGTTGCGCTGCTTCAAGCTATTGGGGAAGTACCAGCGAAGAGCTCGTTGTGCTTCAAGCTATCGGGAGTTACAGTCAGCAGGTCCTCGGTTCGTCAAGGATTTGCAAGACTTTGTCTTGCGTACCAATCTATGTGGGAATGCAACACGTACTCGCAGACTGATGTTCCCTTCTGCACAGGTTCGGGGCCATGGGCCAAGGTGTACGAGTCAGAGTCCAGCCAGTCCTGGCCCTGTCTCGTTCTTGCGGATGATTACCCTTTATGTCCTCAAATTTTGGAAACCCCCTGGCAAGACCTGAGTGGCCAGCGATAGCCGGTCACCTGTGAGGAGTCAACAGGCGGCGTCCACGTCACACGACCTGTCGGTGGCTCCGCAAAAGAGGCAGTGAGAATGCGAGGCTTACGTCTAGGACTTTCGCAAGGCAAGTTGTTGTTAGTCCGGGGGAGTTCGGATGCAGGGTATGGTGAACACCAGGAACCGGAAGCGCCAGGCCGAGACATCCGCGGCATCTAAGTTCTAAGCTTACCGGCCTCAAGTTTCGTCTGAACCTCTGCTTCGCTCTTCGCTCTGCTTGACTGAGCGGCAAGCCTCCGATCTGCAGCAAGTCAGCGTCGCTGTCTGCAAAGGCCAGGTTGGAGACCTCCAGCTCCAGGAGGAGGCCCAGCCCGCGCTTTTAAAAACACCCTTACTACCCTTAGTTTCAAATCTGACTTCGTTGCTTTGCGTTGTGAAACGTACCCAGTTTCAGGGAACGAGACACCAAGAACGTCGAGGCTTTCGGGTTTAGGGTTCCGGCAGATCCACTGGGATGCGTTTCCAAGCCAACACGAAACGTTTCATTTGATACGCTCGACAAGTTATGCAGGCAACGACCCCCGGCAAGAGCTTCACATCACAGAGTCAAAGCTTGCAAACCAGCCGGCTTGTCAGCGCCCAGACAAACTTTTCGGTTGAACATATCTATAAACATGTGTGGCTGCAAAGTTGGGCTCTTGCACACTATTTCCCCATTCTATGATTGCAATCAAAGCTTGTTTCGCACGAGGGCCCACTTTTGAGTTGAAAGTATTCATAAAACTTCCGAGAATCAAAGATCCTGCGATGTCCTGGACAAGGCCGACTTTTCAGCGTCCTTGTCGGGACCTACCCCACGTTCCAACACTGTGTTGGTTGCTGTCTGAGATTCCAAAGCCAAGGTCACCCACCTTGCAAGTGCCATGGCCAACGTTTCAGTGCCAAGGCCAACTCTTTAGGCAGAAACGTTCCCCAATAGCATGGCAGGAAACTTCTTTCAGTGAAAATTGAAAGTTACCATCTCCAGGGCGAATGTCTTTAAACATCCCGCCAAGAGCACCACGATGCTCAAACACCAGATACGCCAAGATTTCACCAAACACTTCGTCATGACCCTCCATTGGCCCGGACAGGATGCTCAGGGTCCGGCGCTTGCCGAGGTGTCTGTAAGCTCAGCAGCCGATGGCAAGTCTTGCTCCTCGGCACCGCGCGCGGCGGCTCGGCGCTAGGTGTGGTCGGTCCGCAATGTGCCGTGCTGGATACGTGATCTCCAAGCAGGGCTGGGCTCTGCACGCCAACGCTTGACTCCGTGTAAGCCAGGGCATGTGTGTACCTCAGCCACGCGGCCGCAGGCCACAGCAAGAAGCGATTGATGTCTTCTTTGAATTTCTCAAACTGCTCCCGGGCCCCGGCTGCTGCAGTGTCGCGCTGTCTGTGTAGGCGAAGCCTCGTGAATCGACAGATATTTGCTCCTCCTTCCTGTTGCAGTTTCATTAACTGGGTTCATGTGAGCTTGCCGGCCATTCGAGACAGAACGAACCTCATCTCGAAATCGTACCAGCAAGGTGAGGGGCAGACTGTAGGTGCTGGCGTCCACGTTGCCAAGCAGCGAGCGGCCGGTGCCGACTTGATCCATCGCCAAGTAGACCTGGTCAATGCCGCTGCTGGGTCTCCTACACCTTCGAAGGCAAGGGAGAACGCAAACATCTTGAATCCTGCATCGATGCCAAAAGCCAGCAGATGCAGTCCGGCACACCCGGGGCCCGGGCGTTGTAGTGCTGCACCTCGCTACTGTTGGGTGCAGTCCACCTGGCAGGCATGGTAGGCACTCTGGAAGCCAGAATCGGGAAAACTGGTTCAAGTGGTTGTTGAGTGGCTAAGCACCGTGGGGCATTGTCGTCAATGGTTTCCTGAATCGACGGTGGTGTTGGTTTTGGACTTGGCATCCCTTAACCAGACATCGTGCGAGTTGGTGAAACTGAGTGAAAGCTTTAGAGATGCGCGGTGTTGGAAACTTGGGGACAAGAGAGGGTGCGCAAAGACCGAAGACTTTGTTTCGGGCGCAGGCCTGAATCAGTAGTTTAGGTTTAGCTTGGCATTGGTACGTAGACAGAGTGCTCTTCCCCCCAGGGGCTCCAAACCTCACATCGCTATGCATAGTTCAATAGCAATACTGTAACCGTGACAGACAAGGCTGAATGATGCCGCCCAGCTCGCCCGCGTCGAGCCGCCTGTCCTGATTGTGGCAGCTCTGAGTTTGAGCGCTTGCAGAGCCCCAATTGAATTTCGGAATCATCAAGCTCAACCAATTTACCCTGAAAACTCTGAGGCCCCTACCACGAATGCAAGGGCTTGAGGGGAAAAGTCCACATCGGCCACGCTGACCGAGACTGGTGTGGACTGCAGCGAGAAGGAAGACCTGGCCGCCGATTGCCAAAGGGGCATTCCGGAAATGGAATCGGCGAGACGGCATGAGCAAAGCCTGATGGGCCAAATGAGCCCCAGACTGTGAGTAGATGAGGATCTCTGAATATGTCGCGTTGGTCGAAACCTCAGCAGTGTCTCACAACCACAGTCGTCGTGGAAGCATCATCCAACAACTTCCCAATGCCCCGTCACTGAGCTCACTTCGAGGCCCCAACAGGGATTGTGTAACTGTTGGTCCCCACCGGCAGCTCTGCAACCAGCACACCACCGGCATTGTCGTTCCAAAACCTGAAACTCGCTGAGTGGATTTCAAACCTTCCACCAGCCTCAAGAACAGACACGGCTACTCTTGCTTCAGCTAACACGGCGTTGAACCCTTGTGGTCACGCTGTGCGTGGACCTCGTCTGAACAGGCCTATGGGGACCAATTTCGGGAACAAGGCAGCATCCGGCTTCTGGGAGTCGTGCAGAGAATAGGAAACGACCTGGAGGCTTGAGCGAGGCATGCGCCACACAGACGGTCACAGCTCTGCACTGTCCTGTGGCTGAAATGCATCGAGATTTCCGGACTGCCAAACCCCGGCCTGGGAGGTGTCCGTGGGAGAAGACCAGGTGACGGGACCTCGGCAGCTCTTGGTCCAGAACCTCTCCTAGCGAAGCCAAGGCGGAAAATTGAACTTGCGGATGAGCGACCACCTGGACCTAAACCGAAATATCGTTTTGGGTCGAAACAGGGCTTGGGTCTGAAAAAGAGTCGCGAACAGACTGTGACGGCACATAGGCATCAAGATCCGAGCCAGCGATGTCATCAGCGTCGGGATCGAGGTCCGTGAATTGTGGGGAGATCCTTCAGAGGAATTCAGAAGCCAGCTCGCGAGTGATGTGCAAAGAGCCACTCTCTCGCATCCCACATCTGCGAAGGCGTCGTCTTCTAGCATCCCAACCAGGCACTGAGCTCCATGCACACTCCCGTCGGTGTCATTGAAGGCCTCGCAGAGGCCGAGGTAACACACAGAAGCCCCCCGGGCCTGCGGACTTGAGGCTTGGAACTTTCCAATCGGGACATCTGCGAAGCCCTAAACCAATAGATCCGGCTGAAAGGCCCCCAAAGCAACGAAAACTGAACAAGCAGAACAAAAGAACAAGAGAGAAGAAAATGTACCGGTGTTGCGAAACCAGTGTCCACTCCCTGCAGCTGAGCTTGACACGGACGAGTACCTCATGCAAGGTGGCAGGAGATCACAACCAAGGTCACTCCTTCTCACATTGTGGCTTTTGGGTGCAAGTCTGCCGCCAAGGAACGGCGTGAGTTGCTCGCCCTGGGAGTTGGAAGAGTAGATAAGCCAGAAGGCATGGGCCTCGGGAAGGCAAAAGGTCATCTCTCAGCTTGTTCCAGCTGTACAAGCTGGCACTCAAGCACTCTGCACTGGCAGTCAAGGTCTCGTGGTCTTCCAGCAGGTGCCAAAGCGGGATGCCACAGAGAACAGCTTATTAAGGGAAACCAAAATGTTGAAAGGCTGAAAGCCACAAGGCCCAGGATGCCATGGCCATTTGCAAGCAAGGATCTCCCACCGCGATGTCCGAAACGTTCAGCTCGGTATTCGAGCCTCGTCTAATCTTCGGATACAGGGAGCTTTTTTAAGACTGCGCGCTCGGGACTTTGAAGTTCGAATGCTTCGGTTGGAGAAGGCTGCGCAAGCTGAGCACAGCACCGGCAACGGCACTCGCTTGCAACGCCCGGCCGGTGCCAGTTGCATCCTGACAACATCGGCCCCCAGGCTCTTCTCCGAGGGTTCAATCTCCGTTCAATTCGGTGGAGTTCCTTTGAATCAGGGCAAGTAGTGTATCGCAAACAAGGACAACGGGGCTGTTTGCTTGCGAACCTTGCCGCAGCATGCCGTAAAGCGAACCCTAAGGCATATTTCTGCAAACACACACACACACATGAAGGTTATGTACATCCCGTCAACACCGGTTGTCTATTCTCTTCTTCCTTTCTCATTCTTTGTCGTCGTCATCTACCAGCAAAATAATGTTTCGACATGATGAGCTGAGCCTTTAAAAATCTTTTGAATGGAAAATGTGACAAGAACTTAGCAACAAAACAAGATACTAGATACAGCATCCCGAAAATTGGACCTCAAGAAGTATATACATATATATATATATGTATATGAGACATAACAAAGCTGAGCGAGTGAAACTTACTGCAGGTACAGAGCCATGCGTCCATAGCTCCTTCCACCTATTCCGCTAGCCTCGTTGGCTGGCATCACGGAATAGGCTTCGAAGTCCTCCGCCAGAGCTGGGAGTGATCCAAAAGTGGCCGTTTCCGCCTCATCTTTCTCAGGAAGGTCCTCCTCAATAAGTGGAGGCGCGGGTGCTGCACGTACCTTAGATACTCCTTTGCGCCTGGAAGGGTTGGGATTGCGAGCTGGTCGAAATGATCTTGAGACTTGACCCTTCAACCGAGCATTCTCGGACTGCAACCTCTGAAATCGTGTCAGCAGAGTATGACTGGTCTGAACTCGAGTTTCCTTCCGACACTCTTTGACCATGTCTTTGGGAGGCACTCAATACGGTAACAAACTCCGTACCTTCTTGTTCGGATTGATCTGAACGAAGTGCTCGCATCAACACTCCACAGAAAATCGCGTCCTGCCTCGACGGAAAATTCTCCCACTGAACGGCCCGACCATGAGCCACCTGCCTCAAAGCCCAATTCTTGCACCCTCCTGAGATCACCTGGTGCAAAGGAACCATAATGCTTATGCCTGCAATCCCTTGCTCTCGAGTAAGCCGATTCGACCCCACAATTTTCGGACGCGTCAAACCATACACTCTGTTCGAATCCCACTCATGAGAAGTCTGCTTCCAGGTCCTCGGCAGCTGGTGTGCATGACATATTTGCAGTCTCTCTTGAAGTGGACAACACCGTGGATAAGGCACCGCTGTTGTGTCTCGTCCCCCCCTCCAGCCTTGAGTACAGAGTGCCCACCTGGTGTGCTGGTGCAGCCTCGAGTATTGACCGGGCATAGCCATTTCGCTGACCAACTGCTTCAGGACCATCGGCCTTTGTAGCCGGAGCTATGGAACGTGACTGCATCATGCCCTCAATGCCTGGAGTGTCTGTACCATGTGCAAAATAGTACAGATTACGTTGCTCAGCAGACAGGTCCTCGTGCGGAGCGAAAGGCGCTTGCAAATCAAACGACCACTAAACATGAGCTTTGGATTCAAAACACCTGCCTGACATGTGCAAACATCTGAGTGACATCTCCAGTGTAGTGGCACATCACTGCGGCAAAATAACGCAGCTCGAGAAGAGAAGGAGGCTCAACCCTTGCAGTCGTCAACTTGACCAAAGCAAGCGTGTTACGTTCAATGTCCTGCTCGGGAGCTGCCTTCAAACTGACTCGTGTCTGCCAGCTCTTTGGTTTGTCTGTATGCAGGTCCTGACCACTGTACTGAGAAGAGCGTCCCTGCATATATCGGAGGAGCTGTAGGAGTGCAATCAATGCCCGACGAAGCTGGAGGAGGTGGAGGTGGGGGAGGAGGAGCGGCGGGAGCCTGCGCCGCACTAGTTGGTGCAGACAACGATGTCCTGGGTGCTGTCGGCTCCGTCTGACGAGAAGCCGCCAAAAGCACAGCCCCGTCTGCCATGTCATACAAGACTGAAACCTCTGACGTGTCAGAACTCGATTCAACCTGCATGGCACTGTCACAAAGCTCCACTGCTCCCAACATAATCTGCCCTCTTCGCTTCTCTAGCCTTCGGTTTTGGCTGGCACTCTATCGACTCATCACTGTCCTTCGAAGCAACTTCAGAGGTACGAGAACGAGAAGATGAAGACGACGATTCCTGAAAAAGACACTTTCGATCATATTTCTTGACCTGTTCCACCACTGGTGTCTCAGGTATGTCTCGGCCTGAACACTCCTGCATGAGCACGGGAATGTCAATTCCCTGGCACTCGTCAAACGAACTGCTGAGGGAGACGGTGCCGTCCCTTCGTCATCAACAAGATACAGCAAGATGTCCACACCGACAACCTTTGCATTACAGCGCAGGTTCCATGAATGCAAAAGAAGCTCACAAAGAAATCTAACAGCGCAGTCGGAAGCCGAGATGCTGCCAAAACCCATGAGCTGACACTGATCAACGCGCGAAATCACGGCCCTTCATGAGCACCGTGCGACTGCTCGAGTCACCGGGGGACCTTTTGGTCACGAAAGCCCATCTCCTGTCAAAACCGGGGCACCATTCCACTGTTGGCCCCATAGGAGCGGTCGGGCCTATCACCTGAAAAGAACTGACCACCATAAAGCGCGGTACGCTCGATTAGTCTGTCCCGCAGGGGTACGACATGCTATGGTACCATAATGGGCCGCACAACGTACCCTGGCAGTTCGCATGAGCGAGTGTTGCCGGTGGCGACACGGCCGCACACGGAGTATAGGTTGACACCACCATTCACACTTTCTGGGGAAGGTCTTGTAAAGGATAAGGCAACTTCTTAAGTATCCTTGGTGCCCTGATCACAATTCTCACTCTGACATGTGCAAGCACTGAAACCGGGGTAGGGTTCGCGGCTTAGCCCTGTGCCATCCAGAATCATACAATGCCAATTCCAACAAGAACCAATGCACAGCTTAGGAGCAAGATGTCACAAACATCAATCGCACGTACAGGATCAAGCGTCCTTGATCCCTTCCAACCTCTTGCAATAGCTTCGTTGCCCGCAGTATGCTAAAGGTGTTGCATGCCCCTGCTGCTGACAAAATCTCACAACGCAGATGTTTTGCCAAAGACCTTTCCCTTGGAATCAGGGTGTACACACACACACACAAACACACGCGGGCGCACGCGAACGCACAAGCACTCAGAGAGAGAGAGAGAGAGAGAGCGAGCAAAAGCCTATCGACAATGACGATGATTTGCCACGATGATGATATGGTGATGATGACGATGATGACAGCGATGATGCTGAAAGTCACTGAAAGCGAACTGAGATGATAGTTTTTGTCCCAGCGCATGGCAACGCCAGGAGTGGCGTGCACAAAGAGAATGAGACGATCTGCAGGAATGAAAAAGGAAAGTGTCCGTCAGTCAGCTGGTGACAACTCCCATGCCATCACAATACTCGCCCTCATCTTCCACAGATTCGTGTTCCAGACATAGATCACTCAAACCCTTGACACGCAGGACCAAAACTGTCGCAAACATACTCCCCAAGTTCGCTTGTTGCTTCACACTGACAGTCAGACACGCGCGAGCGCGCGGAAGAAGCGGGACTTACCTAATTGGCACGAATGCCACGGAGAGTTCTCGTAATGGACTGACGTAGAAGAGAATGCCCCGTCGCTACAACCTGACAGCCTGATCTCACCGGATTGGAATACCTGGAGCACGGTCAGGCTTTTCAGGGAAAGGCTGAGCAAACAATCCTCGGCCAGGTAGAGGCGGTACTCAGTAATCTCGTCCGCCACCTCCAAACGACTGGGCTGAGAGAGCTTCGGCTGAGGCAACGAAACTCACCTGGGCGGGTGTCCAAGTGGCCGTGCCGCCGAGCTCTAGAGCATCCAGATCCTCTCGGCTGCAGACATGTTTCCGATTCCAAACTTTGCTTTCATGTCTCCGATCTGGACATGTGCGAACTTTGGCAGAAATCAGGGTCGGGGCCCCGGATGTTGACTTTTAAAGCGTGGGTTGGAGTCAAAGTCTTCAGTGCAGTCCTGGTGAAGATACCCCGGAGCGTATGCACACTTGCTGAAGCAAGCACGATCAACAGCCACGACGAATGAATAGTTAGCGGCTGTACGGAGTCTGACAGTTTACAGTAAATCCCATAAAGTTGGAAACCGGATTAAGGGCAAATAGTGCTGGGATTCCTTATACATTACTCTTAAGGATTGAGGCTATGGGGTTTCCAACTCTTGGGCTTCTACTGTAAGCCTCCCCGGCGGCTGCTCAAGATTGAGCAATGTCACAAGATTTCGCGCAGCAAGGCTCCAACAATCCAAAAAGGGAGCTTGCCACTCCTCGTCCGTGAAGTCGAAGTTTGAAGGCATGTAGCTCAAAGCCTCTTTCTCTGACCGCATCATGGAGATTTACTCAAGTAGACAGAAACATGCGACCATACCTGAGGCCTGCACGGCCTCAGCGAAAGAAAGCGCCACAGGCGTTGACCTTGCAGACTAGAACTTGATGGCGAGGGGTGATCATGGTGATGCTGTGAATATGATGAACGTAATGGCAGGTGATGGTGATGGGATGGCGATGGCTTCTGATGGTGGTGATGAGAAGAGAACTAGGCGAGGATTCCTGCACCCGATGGCCTATTGACATTGCAAGTTTGTTGCACTGAACGAAATAGTG